GAATTTAAACCACCCCAGCTAAAGTACAATGCTGCTTTGCACATTTCATTCTGAAGGATCGTAAGTCTAACAATTTTGATTTTTTTTTTCTTTGAAAAAGTAGTATGTATTTTATAATTCAATAGAAATACAAAGGTCAGAATCACAATACACAAAAATTTGCTCATACACTACAGAAATAGTATACAGTATATACTATTTCTCTATATGTATTGTAAATAATATTATATAATATATACATAATATTACATATATATTATATAAAAATATATAGAGAGAAATAGTATACATTCATTATATACTATGTCTATATATATTCTATATATTTTTCTATATAGTATACACTACACTACTACTACTAACAGTACTAACAGAAAATTTTCGATAGGAATAAATAGAATTTCTGTTTTGGCTACAGGATTTAGCACATTTAACAGTCCTTTGAAAACAGCGAACATCCTGATTATTATTTTAATTTTTGTCTTTAATCTTATGGTCTTAATGTTCTCCTAAATTTAAAAATATGGTTACTTTTTGTCCATGCTGCTGTTAATGACAAAAGAAAAATATCAGATGCCATTATTTTCTTAATGTGACACAAAACAAATAGATTCTTCTTATATTACAGCTTTTAAAACGTATGTATATTCTCTATATATATTTATATATTATATATTATTTTATATATTTTAATATATAATATATATTTATATATAAAATATATAAATATATAAAATATATAAATATATAAAATATATATATTTTTATATAAAATAAATATATATGTAATATTTATATTTTTATATAAATATATATTATATATTATTTATATATATGGTTTTATTTAAGCAGAATGGAATTCAATTGTGAAATTCTTTTTACTTTAGTTGATTTTTAGCAAAATCAACTTACTTGGTTTCAAAAATGTGAGAACACTGAAGCATGAAACTTTTAATCAAAACAAGGGATTTTGCAAAGCTTAATTTTTACTATTTTTTTTTCCTTTAAAGATGAAATATGTGCTGGGTCCAGTTTTGGGCTTTCTGCTACAAGAAAGACATACTAGACAGAGGCCAGTGAAGGGCCACAAAGATGATGAAGGGACTGGAGAATCTCTCCCATGAGGAAAAACTGAGAGAGCTAGGACTGTTTAGCCTGGAGACGAGGAGGCTCAGGACGGATGTCATCAGTATCCATACATATCTGAATGAAAAGCACAAAGAAGATGGAACCAGGCTTTTTCCAGTGGTGCTCATTGACAAGAGGCAACAGACAAAAACTGGAACACCGGAGATGCCACCTGAACATCCAGAAACAGATTTTTTACTGTGCAGGTGTCTGCTCTGGCACAGGATGCCCAGAGAGTTTGAGCTGAGTCCCTACTCAAAGACCATCTGGAAATGGTCCTGGGCATCTTAATTTTACATATATATAAACGGAATATGTAAAAAAAATTGTTACCGAACTCCAGCATTTCTATGGCACTCAGAGTTTCAAATTGCTCTGGCTCTTTAAGCTACTACATAGTATCTCAACTACAGAGCATATTATTTGTGATAAACACTTTATACAATCCCAAGGTTTATCTACTTTAAATTAAACTAGTCCTCAGAAGCTTAACGTTTAAATCAGGATTACTTCTCAACCAAACCAACACAGGCTGCACTTGAATATTCCAAATCAATGCATGACTAACAGGATTCTTCCTGCCACAGAGTGGCTAAATTCAAATATAATCTTAGCTTCTGCTTCCTTTATACAGATTAGAGTCAAGGATGCAGCAACCTTTGCTGCTCGGGTGAACTCTTTCTGATATCTTAATACAATTTACAGTACACCCTGGGATAATCCTTTGTTCAATATTGCTGAAGTGGCTTTTTCACTGACCAGTAGTTTTGAAAAAAGCTCAGGACATTAACAGTTTGCAATCGTTAATTAAAATTGTTTACTTTGAAACCCATTTTCAATACATATAGCAGAATAAATGATTTTAAATATTTCCTTATGTGAATACTAATTTCTTACGTTTCTTAAAATTTCATTCAGATTATCCATTTAGTTAAAAAAACAATACCTTATGCAAAGGAAACTGTCATATATATATGTATAGTTATGTACATGCATGCAAGCACCATTTTTGGTAATTTGAAGGAAAACGTCAATATCTGATAACTTGGAATCAACAGAAATAACCTTCAACTTTTCTGATGAAAAACTTCTTCATAATGTGAATGAATACGATAACGTAAGTAAGCACACTTCACCCTTACAAAACACATCTTTCTGGTCTATCTTCATTATCCCTGCCCAGTAGGTAAGGGAAGGCAGCTTTCCCTAAGATGCAGAGGTTGACTCACTATTTTAATAGCAAATAAAATGTATTTCCTCCATATTGCAATTTAAGGTCAACATTTACATCATTCTTCAGGTTTTATTGATTGACTCTATTAAGGGAATCATGACAGCTTAACAGTACATCAAAACTGACAGAGACATGGTTAACATTTTTTTTTTCCCCCACCTTTCTCAGAACTGACAACAGAGGTAGGTAACAGTTCATACTTTTATAGTTAATATGACTGTTGTGATTGTTCTCTTTTGCTGTGATATTAATAGAGACAAGGGAAAGCCTTTCCTTATTGTATATAACCTTTGTTACTCATACTGAGCTGAATTCCTCTGGGAGGATGAATAACGATCATTGACTCAGAACCCCTGCACTAGGCAGCTAAATTAAATTAATTAAATAGCCTGCATCTTTTGTCTGTTTTCAGTCATCTACATATCTTGATCAAATGAACCAGTCTTTTTCATCTTCAGTTTTCTTCATCCCTATATACAGTGTACTTTGCATGTGTGTGTGCTTGCAGCTTTTTCCCTTGTTTTGTGGGACAATGCCTACCTGTGAGAACTCTCCAGCGTCCCACTCCACCCTGCACTGAGCATCCAGGTCTGGACATCCACATCTACTGCTACTTTGCTGCATAACAGCACTGCAAAGCAGCTGGAGAATATTTCTGGGATTATTTCTTTATCTCTTCTTCGAATCCTACTTACCCATTTTCTCTGCTTTCATGTCTCCCCTTGTCACAGTATGTAACCCATCACCTTTTCAATGTACTTACACCACACCTATGACAAGGGAAGTATTTTTATTCTCCTTGCATCGATCTGGACTTAGGCTCTAAATGGAGGAAAACCCACAGCTGCCAGGGAGTTACCCAATCCTTAGCCAATCCTGTAAACACTTCAATGCATTAAGAACTGAAAAGTAGATAATTTTATCTGTTGTATCTGTTTGCCTTTCACAAAACAAATCACAAGAATACCTGTGAGATAATACCAGCCTGCTTTTGGAATAGGAACATTTAGCTGCTAAACTGCTATTTGCACAGCATTAAAGGTACCAAGTAGAGGCTTCAAGTAGAAAAGGGCTAGTTTCAAAAATTCAAAGCTGAACAGAAGTTATTGTAAGCTGAAATGCTTCAACTAGGTAATTCTATAAGCATAGAAAATTTCTTCACTTTTTTTTTTTTTTTTTTTTTTTTTTTGAGAGAGAAAAAAAAAATGATGTAAGCAAATGAATTGACAACATTGTGCAGCAGAAGCAGTAAAACAAAATGCTCAGGCCATTATTTACTGCATTTAAAGTAAAAAGTTACTGCAAGTAACTTTGGGCAAAGTCATGCTCTCACTTGTTATTTTCTGTTTTACAACTGGGAGTTTCCTTACCATTCTCTTGCAATGCAACCGAAGGAGGTCACAAATTCCCAGGTGGCCATCTTTTGAAAGCAACTTCTATTCTTGTTCCTCAGAGCTCCTTTATATCAGCACATACCCATGTCAAATATAATTGCTGAACACATAAAATTTCTTAATCAAAGAGAAGGCCCTAAAATGACCTAAATGAGTGGAACTAAACCATTAAATGAGTATAGCTCAGTATAGGAAATGGTCTAGAAAATATGCTGCCAGACAGACTGACTTCAGATAGCAGTAAGGAGAAAATTCAAGATCATTTCTGCAAAACTGTTATTTAATCTGCTCTGAAAAAAAATATTAGATTTTCCTTTACATTAAAATGTTAAACTAGATGTTAAATACTTCTGTTGTTTTTTTAATTTTAATACACTAATTAGTAATTTTAAATTAGGTCAATGTAAGATAATTGTCCATCAAATAGCCAAAGTGGGCAGACCTCCTCCTCTTCAGCCTGGAGAAGAGGATGCTCAATGAAGATCTTGTAGATGTGTATAAATACCTTAAGGATATATATTCAGAAGTAGACAATAATTACAACTTTCAAGCCATTGAGAAATTTATTGGGACAGAAAGCTTTAGAACTCCTGTGATGCATGTGGTAAAAAGTGACAGAAATCATTTCCTCCAATTACCTTCAGTGTTCACATAAACTGAGGAGTAAATAAGTAAATTAACTTGCAATGATGCTGGTAATCATAGTTTATTTCTTGATCTATACGTTATTTTGCTTTCTTCAGGCTCAGGGTGGATCTCATCAAGGTGCATAAACAGCTGAGGGGAGGGTGCCAAGAGGACAGAGCTGGGCTCTTCACAGAGGTGCCCAGCAGCACTGGGCACAACCTAGCATGCAAGGGGCTCCCCTGAGCACCAGGCAGCCCTTTTGTGCTGTGCAGGTGACTGAGCACTGGCACAGGCTGCCCAGGGAGCTGTGGGGTCTCCTCCTTGGAGATCTTCAAAATCCACCTGGGCCTGAGTGGCCTGCTTGAGCAGGGGGGTTGGACCAGATGGCCTCCAGAGGTCTCTGCCAACATTAACCATTCTGTGATTCTTCTCACAGCACATTTACATTGAGGGAAACAAAGAAACTAAAACTTCTTTTCAGTTTATTTCTAATGCATAAAATGGAGAAAGCAGCAAGGCTTTTATCAGGTAGAGGTATAGTTAATCTACAGATGGAAATAGGTACAGAGAGCTCAGCAGCTGTGATTAATAATGAACATATCTGCAATGGAGTGACCCATATGCAAATACAGAAGTAATCCACAATACCTCATTTTATCTAGAGACTCCACCCAGGTGGTAGGCTTTGTATCACCTGAAAGATATCCTAGTTCTGATAATCAGGACAGAAAATCAGAATACATTAACTCAAAAAAAAACTCAACCTGCAGTGAACTGTGAGATTAGAACTCCTGCTATGGTGTGGATGTCTACCCAACCATTTTCATGGAAAGTACGTTAGAAGGCATTACAGACAAAATTTGCATCAAGAACTAGCATCTAGTCAAGCCAAAAGTACCAATCCTTTGTTTAGTAACCAACATTAAAGGTAAGTTAGATAAGTTGAGGAAGAACAGTCTCTCGTTTTTTTTTTCATTTGCTTTTAACAGATATTTTCTGTAAATGTTCATAACTACACAATCAATAACTGCAGGAATCTTAAACTTACAACTAAGTGCTTTTTCTTTCCATAAAAGTGTGACCTGCTACTGAAATTAAAGATAGAAAATGATGGACTTCATACTTACATACTGCAAGAAATATACTGTAATATCTGCTCACACTTAATTTTTATCTTCTTGATAGATTGCTACAGAAAACATGTTAGGAAGTATACTGTGTGTTATATTAAGGACTGATGACTTTTTTCTACAGGCAGAAGTGATGATAAACACCTGTCAGCAATAAAGAGCAATTAGACTAACTAGAGACTATCAGAATTTTCTTAAATTCTTTATCTTTACATAAAATCAGACCATGTGACCAACTGCAGAGACTAGAAGCAGTGGTCAAGGTCAAAGTGATCATATCACTGAAAAACACATATACAATCATGTGCTATTGGGTTTTACCCCATGTTTCCTCTCTTTCAGAGAACTGAAGAAAAAAGCTCCTCAAGAGCAGAGCCAAGTGAGCTTTCCAGACAAAGCCCTCGGAGCTCTCTGCTTGTTCCCTTCCACAGGAAGAACTGGCATTTTACTACTCCTACCTCATAACCGGGGTAAAGATGGCTTTGGTTTTGCCACAGGTATATTAATGACCAGTTAGTTATGACTCTGGGTTACTGGCTGATGTTGTATAGGGTTTTTCTCAACTACAGAAAAAAATCTAATACAATACAATCAGTATATGTAAATGTTCACCACTCTGACAGATAACAAGCCACTTGTAGAACTTTTTGATGAAATGCAAGGGAGTGTTAGCCATGACATCTGTTCAGCTGGGGCCCTGGTTTTGAATGTAGCTGTGTGAATCTAGGATAATCAATTAGGCAGGGTGTCAGTATGCCAGCACAGATGTCCTCAGTCAATTGCAGATAATCATCGAGTTCTTTGAAATTTCCAGAGGAGATTGTATTACTCCTGGGACACCCTTGACCTACGATCGGGAAAGGTTTCCCAGATAAGAAAAATAAAAGGATCATATCGTTTCCTTGTGGAGCAGTATATATTGCAGGCTATCCATAACCTTCAAAGGGTTAGAGCAATGCACTGAGAGCTGAATGCACACTGCAGGGCACAGGGGCAATGCCTTCACCTCCACCCTCAGTATGAAATCAAGGCTTTATAGCATGATATGGAACACATCCAGGCACTTATTACAAGATATTTCCCCATGACCTACATACTGTGACTGCCTGTCAATAAGAAATAAAAAGTAGGGGATCAATAGCATCAGTGATACCAACAGACATTTTCCCCTCACATATTTTTCCTGGGAACACCAGAAGCATCAGAGACACACAGCTTTTGCAAGGTTAAAAGGGGTGGAGGGGTGTCATTTCAGTACATGCTTCTTCAACATGACAGTTGCAACGTATATATATGTGAAAAAAATAAAACTAAACTTTGTATTGCAGGGACTGCAAGAAACATTTTAGCCAGAAGCAGTTTAAATTTTACTAGCATGGGTTTCAAAAACTTACTAAGTAAGAATAGAACAAACCTAATAAAGCTTTTCCATATAATTCAGCTCAAATGTGTTAGAAATTTTATAGCGCTGATAAAGGATATTAGTGGTAACGGTTTGTAAACAAAGCTGTCTTGGTTTCTGTAAAAGTACAGAACAACCAATCTCGAAGAACATCTTAATAAGAAGAAGAAGAAAAAAAAAAGCTCAAAGGATAATTATCCCACAAACAAAAGCCAAAAATGCTTATGACAACAAAAAAAGAGAACTGGATCCAGAGAACTGTTTAGACCTACTGTCACCATATTCCAATTCTTAGCAATATTATGAAGACAAACCATACATTTGTCATTTTTCTGTTAAAGGGTCTATGGATGTACAGTGATGAGACAAGCAATGGCATCAAGAACTTATTGACAGCAGAAAAGACATGCAAGCACTGGAATCTTCTATTCATCTGAGGTGTACTTGGAAGACCTAAGGAAGGAAGAACTCCCACCTTTTCTGGAAATACAGTTTGCTGACTGGGCCAGCAGATTGCAAAAGCTGGTACTAGCTACTTGAGATGACCCCCAATACCATTGATACACACTACAGAAGAAGAAAGCAAAGGAAAAATGAGACTTAATTAGAAAAGAAACAAAGAATATACAACAAGACTTTCAGACAAAATACAACAAAATAGATATGCTACAGTTAATCATGTCTATATTGCAGTCAGTGCTATGTAGCAGAGAGATAAGCCAGCCAATCTTCATCTGGCTTGGATTTCAGTAGTCAATCAGTTGTGACAGCACAGAGCTCACCACAGGCTAATTCATGTATAAATAACTTCTGTGACTGTAGTTTAAATATATACAGGCTTACTTGAGTATGCATTGCCTCTCCTGTTTCCTGAGAGAGAAGTCACTCTCCACATAGTTTTGCTGTTTTATGGCATGGTTAACCTAAAGCGGTGAGTTCCTAGCTTCCTGAATGGCATATAGTTTATAATATTTGTTTCAATGAGCATTTTTCAAAGCCATACAAAACAAAACAAAACAAGCAATATTCTTTTTGCTTTCTGAAGACTTTGGATAGATAGCTTTAATTTTTCTAGCAAAGTTGTGCCCCTTTCAGTGAGACTACTCTCAGCCAGGAAGAAGGCAGTCTAAGTGCTCTGTGAAGACAATGATTGTCTCTCTCTCTTTCTAAGTATTGATTTAAAGTGTCAGGCATTCTCTAGGTTACAGCAAATTGTTCATGCTACAGTCAGGCTGAAGAGACAAATATGTGAAAAATGAATCATAACACATATAAATTTTTGAGAATTTGAGCATTCTACTGCATTGGTCAGTTTCTATGACCATACAGTATAACAATACTACTCACTTTGACACAAAAATATTGATAAAAATATCAGTTTCTCTACAATAAAACTATTTCAAAGTTAGGTTATATAAAAATGTTCTTATATATTCTGTGCAGCATACACACAAAATTGAGAAGCTTGCCTTCTGCATTCTTTGGAATGAGAGAAATAAAAACAATCAGCTCTTAGATTCAAGCTTTGTGAATGTCAAGAACCTGATGAGATGGAGAGTTATATGCCAAAGGCATTGATCAGCTGTCACTGTTTTGAAGGACTGATTTAATTGTTTCGGACCAGGTTGGACCACCCTTATTCTATTAAGAGTGTAATTGATTTCACTGTGATTACTTGAAGAGAAAAGCCTTATCCAGTGTGTAAGAGATGCAGACTCCTGCCCTACTGAACTACTGCAGGAGGACTATTCAGATGAAAATTACACTTTTACAAGTTTAGTTGCCTTTTTACATACACTGCAAAGACCATACCCTTCTGTTGTGCAAAATTATGGCATTTTTGTTCCTTCAGGAAACCTCACAACATTGCTGTTAACCTATCTCCATCATGAATATTAACATATGCTTTGCCAATGTGTGACCTTCTAAGAGACACTAAAAGTTTTTGTTAGCCATGACTGCATTTCCAATAAAAGAGTGCTGGTGTTAAGACAGTCCAAGTGATAAATGAAATGCCTATTAAACCTTAATCATAGTTAATTATAAGTACATGTAACAACACTCATGTTCAGTACCATATCAAACAGGATTGGTTTCTATTAACCCCTGTTAATATGAAAAGTTTAGATAACAGTACAATTTAACACAGAAGAATGCTAAATCCAAAATCAATGAATTTTATCCAAGTCTGTTGAATAACGAAAGGATTTTAATACTCTTGTAGTTAAATGCCTAGTACATGTTGCCCTCTTGTGGAATCCGGGAAAAAGTGCAAGTTTCAAAATCAATAAATAAAATGTATTGATATTTTAATGGCTGCAATGTAATGATTTATTACATTCACCAGGTGAGCAGTTTATTAATGAAAAGCACTATATTCTGTAAGTTTTTACATTTGACAAATAAGCCTATGTAATTAACTCTAGTAAATCAGGCCCAAGCACTGCAAGTTGTAAAGAGCCTTAGAATACTTTACCTATTACCAGTACTATCTGTATAAGATATGACATAAATAGAATCCCTCAGATGTCTCATATTTCACTATCACTCACTAAATTCAGAGTAATTAAAATATTATATTTCAAATAATAATAAATGTAAAAGTCTTTTTTTTTTTTTTCCATATATGTCTTGAAGATAAATGTTTTCCTTAAGAACAAAATTGGGAATCCTGAATTAAACATTCCATCACACATTAGAGATCTGTAAAATATTTTAATGAATTTTTAATGAAGCTAAAGGGAAGACTCAACATCTTCAAAGGTTGTTTAACACACTATTGGGATATTTTAAAATTGAACTGTACCTTAATTTTCCCAGGGAAAATCTCATTATCTAAGAATATGAATATTTCAATTCCTTTAGAATTTCTTCTAACAGAAGGTAAATTATATTTAACACATTTCATGTAGCATTTAGGACAACTTCAGATACCTCCAAGGAGTGTAGGGGGTGTTTTTTGTTCCGCCCCCCCTTTTAACCATTTCAGTTTGATTTCAGACACAAGTCAGTTTACTACAACACTTGTTCCCTTGATCAAAGATTTCCATCACCTATGAACAAAGGTCAGGTGTCCATGTTAATGTTATTGACGGCCTCTGATACTGCTGACAGCTAGGTGTCACCGATAGGTCTGCAGAATCTGATGGATTTGGTGTGACTGCTTTATTCTTCACCCACTGAGGTTTTATTTAGTTTAGAAAAAGGGGCTGAAGGGAGGTTGTGATTAGCTAACACATTTCAGTTCACCCTGTTCCATGACCCTTTTCCTAGTCCTGGCACAAACTAAACATTTTATCTTGATTTGCCTGGATGAAATCAATCCAAGAGGCAGGGGTTTCAATGTTTAACAGGTTGGTATCCCTGGATTGTCTCAGAAAATAAATAAATAAATATAAATGTAAATTTAAGGACATCTGAATTCTTTCAAATATATGAGATTGCTTATGGAGACTGTGAATGATTTGGGGACACAATGACATTGATAAATATTTGGATGAATACAAGTCTTCAAGCTTTATTTTGTTTCTAGCGGCTCCCTCTTTTCTCCCATCTGCAGTTTTTGGCTACAGCTTCTGTCTGCACTAGGAAAACAATGATTAATGATCATCCTATAAACTGAGGTTATGTTGACTGATAAGGACCTAGAATACTTGCTAGCAGCCTCAGATCAACCTTTTTTAGCACAGTTTACTAAGAAAAGTTTTTTATTTCCTGACCTCTTCTCTACTTTAGCATTTTACCTAAAACATCCCTTAAATCTAGTTCTGTGCTTTTATAATATTAGAATGTATGTGCTTGTGTTTGTGTGTGTTCATATACATGTGTATATGTATTCTAACATATACTCATACATTCTTAATGGATTTGAGTTATCCCTGCTTGACAGAAGTGTATTAACACAAATTGTATCTGCAGTTTTTAAAGTTTTATGACTTTTACATCAACAAACATACAACAAAGCATAATCTCAGTGTTGTTAAAATAGGAAAAAAAAAAAAAAAAAAAAAAAAAAAAAGTAATGTTTAGGCCAATATAACATAAGCTAGCAAGGTGGCCAGGCTGAAAAGTTTTGTTTTTGTTTTTGGTAGGAATTGTTTATCAGTGCTGGTCTGATCAATTCTTTGAGCTGACTGACCGTGTAGCTTCACAAATATTAGTGATAGCTAAATGGAAGCAGAAGGAATGCCTGGCAGAGGCACTGGGGAGAACACAACCATCTCTTTTGTCAAAGTTGTCAATTTACTCTGACTTCATTGAGACGTGGAGCAATACCACAGTTAGGTGACCTGGGTGAATTGAGGCTTTAGTGGTTTGAGGTCAATAATGCCCAGACTTTAAGCCCCAAACCACCTACATATATCACAAAGCATTAGGCTCACGTGTTCACAAAGAATAGCAGTACTGAAATAGCCCCAGCCCTTTCAACTAGCTTCTTTAACTTTATTTGTGAAGAACCATTGTGTAGCAGAACTGATCTCCACACCAGAAAGGTATGGATCATGAAACTTTAGGAGCAATTATCATAACATTCCAACCAAGGATAAATGAAAACATATATTAAGGTGACTGCTTTTATATTTTTGCTCAAAAGCAGTCATAAATACAGCACTGGTAACTCTAGTAATATCCTGGTGGCAATTGCTCTCATCTCAAATGGCAAAACATATTTCTGGTTTCTCACTTAATCGCTTAAACCTTTATCTTATCTACCAGGTAAATCATCTTGGAAAGTACCGGTTTACAATCCAGAGTCATGAAAGACCAGCGCGCGTACTTGGTATTTCTGGTGACTCTGACAAACAAGTAATGCAAAGCAGAAAATCCTAAGTGCACTTTTTCCATGAATAACAAAACAAAACAAACAAACAAAAAAAACTAGTCCTGCATACACAGTACATACACAGATATCTTGTGACCAGAACAAAAAGAAACCTAAGTGAAATCTCTGTAGTTGTCCAAAATAAGTTTTTTGGGTTATCTGCAAGCCAGAAAGAGGCAAATCAGTGTTAGTAGTCTGGGTATTCACCAGCCTGATAGCTTGACTAATTTTATTTATTTTTTTATTATAATGCTATTAGAATTTCCTGGAGGGGTAGCTCTATCCTTGGATTACTTCTGCAGAGGACAATTAAAGAGTGTTATACTTGCAGAAAATGGGGGGTGAAGAAGTCTGGTGTCTGATACAAGGAAAATATAGGCAGTATTCGATTCAAGTGTGGGAAGAGGGTCCTAACCTCCAGCATGCCTGCCAATCTCCTTCATTTCCTGACAGCTTTGGGAGAAAAAGACTGTCACAGGAGCTTCATGAATTCATGAGAATTTGTATGAGAAGAATAGGACAAATCTCAGAAAGTTTGTCTGAAATTGAATGCAAAAGAAAGGAAAAAAAATATGGGATTCTAAATTCATGCTTAGAAAGCAAATGGTGAGGAAAGATTAAGCCTATGGTAATCAGGAATTAAGATAAAAGTCACAGGACATCAGAATTTCATCACTGCAGCTCAACACGTAAGTGACTATTGTGGTCTGTGAAACTGTCCTTTGATTTTCACAGATGACTAAATTAGTAATTGATTAAGTGAAGTGATGGCTGTGAAGCACAGAAAACATTTCCTCATTTGCTCTTGTAACAATTCTTTAGCTCCTTACATGTTCAGAAAAACAGGTTTTCAAACACAACAAACAGAAGTGGTTTCTGGTTTCTAAATGTCACTGAGTAACAGTAATACAAGCTGTTACTTGCAAGTCCCTTTTGTTAACACAAAGATCAGCCCAAGGACTATTAAAGTCTGCAAAAAGTCCCTTTGAGGACAAATAAAAGCCATTCTGTGTACACAAAGTACTTTCAGCTGGATAAAACATTTCATGGGTCATGATCAATGTCTCATATCCTGATAAATTTAGATTAGCAAATGTACTCCTTTACAAAGGTGGGTGGAAAAAGCTCCTTGTTCAATAGACCTTCCAAATGCTGGATGTCTGGATGTCTCAAAAAGCCTCTAAAATAGCTTTTTTTTTTTTTTTTTTTTTCCCTTTCCTCTGAGAAATCAATATGCTTTAAAACATTTTATCTTCAAGAGTTACTGCACTTAAAAAAAAATGTATTAGATGCAGGACTGTTTCCCCAAATACTTTCTAATTTATCTCCCCCTTATCCAATGTTATTATATCCAAAGATAATAAAACCCAACATTGTGTTGGGGTCCCATTAATGTTCAAAACATAGCTTTCTCTCATGGATCCATTTTTATTTTTGGTATCCAGAACTCAAAATATTTTTTACTTAATATGCTCCATGGGGGTATGAAGGAGTAAGAGGACAAAACATTAGCCCCACTGACGTTCTTTCTGTATTCCAGCTAGTAAAAGATTTATGTGATATTTCAGTCTTCTGCTGACTTTGCTTCATAGAGAATGCTCATTTTTAGCAAATTTACAACAGAAATCAATGTAAAACTCTTTGTTCTTGTTTTGTTTGTTAGTTTGTTAAAGTAAAGCTCTGCAGTTACATCGTGGTAGAGCAATACCTAATGTTTTGCTA